AAGTTGTTTTTGTCCCCATGCCTGAGTTGTTGGTTTTTTGTGCATATCTTAATTGGTTGTTCTGTTCTTGTCTTAACTCATGTTGTGTGCTTTTGCTGCTTTTATTAAGATTATCTAGATATCTCTGCAGCTCTTCTTCTGTAGCTGCCAGGAGAGCTTTGTAGTTTGCAACAACAACAACAACAAAAAACTTTCATTGCAGCCCAGCCTCCTCTTTTATGGAGGGGGGGGGGGGGGGTAAGAATCCATCCGTGACGAACTCAAGATTGAAAATATAACTTTTTGTGTATGTCGTTCTAGCATTTGTTCCCACTATAACTTGGCTAATGAAATATATATATTTCAGGCCCATTTAGGACAGCTCCGCCCATTTATATTTATACAACTTTTCATTTATATCTGGTGAGGACAGTAAACTTCTGTCAAGGTTAGAGGGGTGTCGCCGTGCCTGAGTCGGATGGGCGTCAAATTATGACACGCATATACGACCTCGGAACATCGAGAACTTACTCCCCCCCCCTCCCACCCCCTTACGCGAGCTTTATATTAGAGCATGTGAGCGATTTTAACGACCCCATAACGTCTACAACTGGCCCTAACCAAACCCCCATTCGCCACAGACTGAACCTAGGTCCCACGAGACAGTGCATTCTACGTGCTGTGGTTTCAGACTTCCTAACATTTTGCGGTGGCCTGCAAAACTCTACCCTCTGCAATAAACTCATTTCCTACGCAAAATCCTAGACGGCTGTCATTATGCTACCAACAAACACTAATACTAAATAACAGTCGCTCATAAAAACCAGTGCAATACAACATGTACCTGTCCGCACTCAATAAGAAGAAACTCAACAGGGAAGCATGTACAGCAGGAGTCAACCAATCATCAGCAGAAGAGATCTCTCGTCCGCAGTTGTTCCGACCCACGAGCTCCTAGACAATTTCAGAGGGTGGGCCCAATTGAGTTCATGAAACTCAGGGTTGATCTGCTCCTGCTGCACGTATTACCGGATGTTCTCGGACAGGGACAAGACGAAATTGGTGACTGTGCAATAGGTACTGTGAGACTCGCAGTTTATTTACATAGTCGCTGCGGTAGCATTAGAGCAGTCAGCATACCTGGACGACCAAGCGGCACGCTTACGGTTGGTTTATCGGACACATGTTAGATTTTGTTGGCAAATGGCAGAGGGACACCAGCAGACAATTCGGACACGATGGACTTTAAGGAATAAGACTTTCTTTTCCGCTAGATACCCCAACCAGCTCACCGAGGCCCGTCCCCCACGACGTTCCGTTGTGTCCAAAGCCAGCTAGAGGCCCTCTCAGCAGCTTTGCCCTGGAGAGATAACATACACTTGTGCCACTTACACTTCACCGTCTGACAGCTTAAGGCGGGGATTGAACATCACAGTGTCCTGGCCGGACTCCATCAAACATAAGTGTGTAAACTAGGCAAAGCTGACCTAGATGGGCCTGGGTGTGTGACTAGTTCCATACATATACAAATATATATATATATATATATATATATATATATATATATATATAATATATATATATATATATATATATATATATATATGTATATATATATATATATATATATATATTATATATATATATTGGTCGTGCTTTGTATTGTTGTGAGATAGACAGTAGTCAATAATGAATTATCAATATAAACAACTGCTTTATTGTTGTTTTATTTTTCTCAGCGTGTTTAATTGACGTTTAAAACGTATGACAAGATAAAATACATAGAAAATAAAAGCAAGTCTTACAACAAATTGAACTGAACAAAGACATTTAATGTAAATCATATGTACTGCACATACAATCATAGCCTTCTCATCAGTGTAGCCTTAGGAATAGTACGGAAAGTAACATGTTATTTGCCATAACGATGGCTACTCACAGGACCTACTAAAGATCTTTGACCTATTTTAGATCTAAAGTAGGTCATGGCTACTCCAAATTATCTGTTTAAATGTACCCTGACCGTTATCAAAACCCTCTCAGTAGGCATCATAATCACAAATATGATATTTATCATCAGTTCCCTTTTCTCTACTATTCAATAAAAATAATCTTTGTAACAGTTATTATTTTTAATTATTATTTATATTATTATTATTACTGTCATCAAGTGCTTTACAAACTGGCGTGGGCGATCATGCCTCCGCACAGTCTACGATCATCAACAGGATGTATCGTCTTACAGTTCTCCTGTTTTCTCTTCATTTGCTAATCACATGACTCGGCTCCCATTAATATTTCACCAACCTTCAATTTCAAACATCTAGGGCTGTTACAGCTTCTCTTCCCTGTCAATATACGTATCTACTGGTGCATGGAAGTTGAGTCTTTCCCATGATGTGTCCTAGTCTCTGTGCGCATCTGATTCAGATAGGTTTCTTTAGCCCTTTGGCGTTTGTTAACTATTTCTTTGTGTCAGGACTATACAACTAAGTTTGACTTGCGGTCAAAATGGACGCTAGGCAGGGGCACTGTTTGGGGCTGAGGCAAATTTTTTTGCTTCTGCCGGACGGTGACCGATGCATTTTTGCTCCATTTGTAGACTGGATATAGTTTCGTCGCCCAGCTTTTGAGTTAAATGCATGGCGTGACACTGTGAGCTGCGGATTTAATTTGGAATGTTTTTTCGACTGTGACCAACGTGGTGGTGAGAACTGTACATTCAGAAAATGGCGCTATGCCTGTTGTCGCAATGTTGGTGGTGCCCGTATGTGATTACAATTGATCGAGTGGGCAACTGCTGATCTGTTGGTGACTTCTGCTACCATCAATGATAAACTGCATTTCTAATGTCGGACTATCTGTGTTAGCACTTCGGATGGCTACCTTATGCTTTACTGCATGTGTATGCTAGATATGCTGAGACAGCAGTCGTCTATCTTTCCACAAGCGACTGTGATAAACATACTGTGTGTTTCTCGTTGGCACAGGAGCGGAGCAAAGATGGGGTGACTTGTTTGCTATGAAGCTGAAACTAAGACTACTAGAGTACTAATTAAGTTTGTCGGCCTCTGTGGCTTAGGCGTTGCGTTGATTACAGCTGCGAGCCATTGCGCTGGTTTCGGCAGTGGTGTCGAGAAGCCGACGGCCCAGAAAGCAATGGGAAACTACTGATCTTCTATCTTTCTACTTTTTTCTATGAATGCCGATCACTTTATGTTACTTGATTAATTTATGGTAAACTTATAAGGTAGGGGTTAATTGCGTATCCTTTACAGAACGTTGCAGAACCAACCCCAACAGCCTCGCCCTCGCCGTTGTGTGGTTTTACTAGGCAAATTTACGTCCAGCAGTTTGTCATTGCTTCTGGACGGTCGGCTTTCTTGATACCACTGTCGAAACCAACGCAAGCAGCATGGCCCGCAGCTGAGATCGAACCCGGCATCCCGGCATTACGAAGCGTTCGCATCGACTTAGCCACAGAGCCGATACTATGGTAAACTACCGGCCGTACATTTGCTTAGAAAAACCACAACAGCCAAAAAATGCTAGGGTTGGTTCTGCAACGTCTTGTAAAGGATTCGCAACTAACATTGAACTAGTATAGGTTTACTCAGGGGTCAAAATCTGGCAAATTGGCTGGATGGAACCCGGAGCATCAAAAAAAAAAAATAACTCAAACATCACAGCAGACAATAATCTAAGGGCCACTTACTGTGCCCGTCGTGGTGCTGACGACATCACCCATCTTGTGCCGCTGAGTCTATAAAAATATAGGTCTAGCCCTATATGCCCTATACGCCTAAGGGCGGGGAAAAGGGTAATTTACTTTTTTTTTTACTTTACTTACTGTGCCTCAGAGGGCGTGATTTGGCCCACGGGCCGCCAATTAAATCGTCCTGCTTTATGTATTCTATAATTATGTTTTCAATCATTTTTTTTTTAACCATCAACTGCTAAATTTTTTTGTCCCCCATGTACACATCCAATTATTCAGCAACCAATAGTCTGTATTGTTCCCATTGCGTTTTGCCTCTTTTGCACAGTGACACTGTTCTGCTCTTTATTTTCCTTATAACAACAACAGTAACCATCGCAATAACCAATTGTTGACACTGACAGTACCCAGGTTTCAATTACAAATACTTGAATGTGCTCTAAGTATACATAGCTTAAACTACTACTACTATTTCTTCTTCTTCTTCTTCTTCTTCTTCTTCTTCTTCTTCTGCTACTACTACTACTACTACTACTACTACTACCACCACTACTACTACTACTACTACTACTACTACTACTACTACTACTACTACTACTACTACTACTACTACTACTACTACTACTACTACTACTACTACTACTACTACTACTACTACTACTACTACTAGTAATAATAATAATAATAAGTTTAGTAAGTGTAAAAAATCTAGTGAAAATATACACAAATTATGCTTAAAATAAATCCTTATTTTATGTTATCAGTGCCAAACATGCGCAGTCAATAGGGCACCAGAATAGAAAAAAACTACATGGGAAATGTCTAGATAATGATCACTAACAACATAAGAAGTTTATGAATACCAACATTAGGGAGAAAGTTGAAGTAAGACCATGCCTGGATTATACTGACAATCGAAGAATGAAATGGTTCAGCCATCTAATGAGAATGCAGCCAGACCAAACTGCATAAGAGAATTTTTTTTTTTAACAGTAGAACATCTTGAAGGAAGGCGAGGGTAGGACCAAGCAAGAGACGGATAAATGGTGTCGCTGAAACCTGCAAAAAGATGAACTAATCCACCACCCAAGCCACCCGAACAGCGCAAGACAAATAAAATAAAAGGCGACACTGGGCTAAAATCTGATACAAATGAGACGACAGAAGAAGAAGAAGAGTATGCTTCAAATCCGATTATTTTTAAGGAGGCATGTAGTCTGCATTGAGCTAATCATTGTTTGATTACATATTTAGGTGAAGTTAGTATCTACAGACTCGTCAACGATACCATTTTGCCCAGTTTTCAAATATCTAGGGAGTATCCACTTCTACTCAGCCCAAACTTGGCTAGGAACTTGCTGTGTATCTGCGTACTGACTTTCCCAATTCTTTCCTTTGACAGAATGAACACAGGGGCGCCACTAGACCCTTGGCATGTGTGGGTCGTATACAGATAAAACGAACTGGTCAGCCAGTTTAGGACTTTCCCGGTCGGATTAAAATCATCAGAGATAGTTTTTCTTGTCCTGAACCGGCCTAGGCTGACATACTTCCCGCAGCCGTGTGGGTGGGAAACAACTATTACTAGGTTACAGTCGGTTGGCGTACTGTTGGGTGCGATTGGACAGTTCTCTTGCACCCTTTTATTCAACATACCACCGAAGTGATCTAAAGCCTGGTGCAAGATTTGAACATTTGCGCGATCAGAAAAAAGATCGATAACTTTGTGATAAAAATTGACATCCGGTACTGGGGTTTCACTGTTTCCGTAATATTTTCTCACCAGAACTTGTTGATGCACGGTGAAACGAGACACCAGTTTGCTGAGCTGTTCAGCAAACTCCACGTTATGTGTATAAAAAATGACTTTGAATTGATCATCCCTTAGGGTACACACTCCAACAGAATCCCTGCTTCCGACGAGCGAAGGTATGCTGGATACATCTGTGTTGTCTTCGTCAAAATTAAAATAACATACAGTCTCTTCAGCTTCATAATAATCGTGAACAACATGACCGGCCGTTTTTACATTAATCTGACCCCATCTTGTTTTTGGAATCGCTGATTTTTTACATTCTATACAGGGACATAACTTCCCGCTTTCTTCTGTGAAAACATAAGCGTTATCAACAAATCCCGTTCCGCGTATGATACGGGACTCCCCATTGGGTTTGACACGTTCCTCTGGCGGGTATGGCGGCTGAGGTCTGATGCTACTGAACTTGCTCACCTGCAAGCGAACTGTTAATGCTGCCATTTTATGAACCAGCTCCACAATACTTGGATCTTTGTATGGATCGTCCAGATGGTCAATGTTGAACTGGCGTATAGGTATAAATTCTATATGTCTCTTTCTTTTAGGGCACTTAATTTTCTCCAAAGATAGTTCATACTGGTCTTCCCAAACTGCTTCCAGTTCCGATAGAGCTGCAGACGTGAAACTTATCGTCAATTGCAGGAAAAATAATGAACATTAGATAACTAAACAGCATGAAGTATTTGTAAGCGAGTTGAAGTTTAAAACTATGAGATTATGCATCGATATCGTGGCACCTTATGTATGTGCGTCATGGACTTTTACTTAAACACCGAAGAAACAAATCACAGCTTTTGAACTAAAATGCTAGAGAAAAATCGGTTCTTTTTATGTAGGGGGATTTGTAGTTAATTTCCCGGGACAGTCCTACAATCGGGGGGGGGGGGAGGAGGAGGGGGGGGGGAAGGGGTTAGACTAAACAGACTAAAAACTTCCATAGTCATCCTAGAAACCTCCACATGTGTCGTGAAATGATAAGCCATTACGCATCAGTCTGTAAGACTGGTAACCTAACTTACCTGTAAATCTTCACAAAATTCAAACTTGGACTCGTCCGGAAAGATATAGTCCCTTATATCTATATATATAGGTCTTTATTGGACAACATTATTATGTCTACCTTTTCTGGTTGCTTTAACTAAACTCCACTTTTAAATGTATATATCTTTGATATATATTAGAGGAGTTAATTGAGGTTTCTTAGAAACCGATGCACTCCTTGCCCATGTATACTAGGGACTTCTTTTTTTACCAACGCCTGAAGTGTCTAAGTGACGCTATTCTCTCTTGCCGGCTTCTAGCGTCCAGACGTGTCAATCTATGCCTGTATAAGTTCACTTTTCAAGGCGATCTGGAATGTCTCAGTTTTTGCATATGCTTGGGTAAGTTAATTATAGTTTACGAGTACCTAAAATGATGTCTGTAAAGTAGTCACTGCTGTAGAGAGATCAGTATCAGCTGTGGGATCACACTTAGTTCGACCGTTCTTGATCGCTAGAGAAGCGGATTCGAACGTAGACCCTCCCCTGTACAGACTAAATAGCCTATGCCTTAAATAACCCACTCATACTGGTAAACTTAAAACCTTACAAGTGTGTACTATTTAAACTGGCAACAGAAGTTTGTGCATACAAAAGGGGGACAGAATTAGGTCAGGACTTTGTCGGCCAGTGTATGGGTGTGTTTGACCCAAATCAATGGATGGTAAGACGGGCTCTTGGAAGTGTAAGGAATAAATGTACTGACGATGGATATTGGTGTCTGTGTGCAGAGGGGGGGGGGAGGGGAGAGAGAGAGAGTGATATATGTGTTAGAACACTCTATCTATCTCCACTGTATATCTGACTTGCCTTCTCTTGCACTAAACAGACAGATGAATATAGGAGACTTATGTCTCTTGGTCTGGAAAGGAATTCTGAGGAATGAAAGAGGAGAGCAGGGTGGAGTAAGCAGATGGGGGATGATGACTGATGCTTGTTCTGTCTTTCCTGTCAAGATGTTACCCTCTTGGTGATGACTAATTCTGAGTTATTTTCTTGACAGGATGCATCCTTTGTGAGGAGCTGGCAGAAGTTTCACAGTCCAACCAACACCCACCAACCATCAACCAACTATCAACCAACCATAAACTAACTACCCACCAGCTGACACCTGTGAAGGTTCCTGACATCATCAATATGCTGGAACTCATAACCCAAACAGACTACCAGTGCTAGAGCTTAGTATAGCTCAAAGACCTTGTATGTCCTAACT